GGATGGATGGATGGATGGATGGATGGATGGATGGATGGATGGATGGATGGATGGAGAAGTGGACATGGAGGAGAGAAAGGGAGTGGAGAGTTAAGCAAGGGCAAGGGCCCGACAGTCAGTCCTGTGTGACAGGGATTATGAGCCACCTGAGGCCTGAGACAGAAGATGAGCCGGGAAAGGAAGGAGGCCGGGCTGGAAGAACTTCATACACTGTGCCGAGGAATTTTACCTCTGTCCTGTGGGCACTGGATATTGCAAACAGGATGGTGGAGCGATCGGCCCTGTTGTAGAAGATTTGGAGCCGGGTGCTAGAAGAGGGGTGACTGGGTACCAAAGGCAGGCAGCTTGATGGCCTGAGCACACGGCGCTCTCACCCTTTGTAGCATCCTGTGCCACAGCCCCGGAAAACAGAACCAGAGTGCTCGGGGTTTCGCAGTGGCGACCTCCCTTTCTGTCCACCCAGGGACATGTCCCCATATGTCCCCGTAGCAACTTGGGGCTTTCCAGGCCAGTCCCCACGTTCATGAAAACGTTGCTGTCTCTCCACTCCATCTTCATGTACCGCAGTTCGCGTCTCACCTCTCCTTGCTCACCCAGCACCACGGCCAAAAGCCAGCTTCCCTAGCTAATTTCTAGGGCTCATTCGCTCCCTGGTTTTTTCTAAGCTGTTGGACATTTCCATTTTCTTCCAGGGACAGAAAGGGAAGAAAGGCAAAAAAGAGAAAAGACAGAAAGCTAAGGATCTGACGGCTGACAGGTGAGGAGAGTACCTGTGCTGTTGTAATGCGCGCGAGAAGTCGGGGGCGGGGGCACCCCAGAGGACTGCATGGGACACAGCCTAAGTCCTCGAGCTTGGCCGGCACAGGGGCCTCCTGTCCGGTACACCCCACCCCCATCATCCTCCCAGAGTGTCCTGGGGGAAGTGCTAGAACCTCTGCAGTCCTGTACAGCAGGCGCCACCCTACACAGGAAGACGCACCAAGACGGTGGGCCCAAAGGCAGACGTGGGCCCCCATCGCTTCTGAGCTCATGGGACGTTTCTTAAGCCTTAAAATTTAGGGGGTTCTTAAGATGTAGTGTTTAAGACGCAGTTCCCTGGTCCAACTTTTGAGGGACTACTGAAGCTCTGAGTTCCTCGAGGGCGGTCACAGCTCACATTTACCGTCACGTCCCAGGGCCCAGCCCGCCGAGG